GGTGGATTCTGAGAAAGAGTCCTGGTATTGTGAGAAAAGTGAATGTTATTGACTTTCCATGTCTGCCGTGGTCTTCAGTGGGAGGAATGGCCTTTTCGAGGCTCTGCCCTACTGTCATGGCTTCCCTTAATCATCATCATTATCCTGGGCAGACAACACAGGAAAGGGAGACTGGGAATAGGAGCCGTTCAGCACGGTCTCACTGAGGGCGGCAGTCTTGTGACATAGCTACTCAAGAGCTGAACACTGACCTCTTCTACCCCAGTGTCCCTAACCAGATCTTCAGCATTAGGTCTTGAAGAGTATGCAAAGCTAACTGTCCTTTGGAAGTTGGTGGGCTAGGTGAGAAGGTGGACCCTTCACTCTGCCAAACAGAAGACAGGGAGAAAGAGACAGAATGAGGCGAAGATCTCAGGACTAGCACATGAGTGGCTGGCCATGCTTAAAATGAAACAATAACCCCTTAAGAGCAGCATGGAGAAGCCCTGCTAGCCTCAGCATCTTCCTGGTTTTACTCCAGGCTAAGGGGACCCTGGTTTTTCTTCTATGATTTCACTGATGTACTCGCATGCTCCTGCTGCCCTAGATACACAATGGATACTTTCAAGTTTTTCTCTACACAGACCTGTCCGTGGGATCTGAGAGACCCACATTATTGTGACTGCCACTGTGTTTCATGATCACATTTAATAGTTCTGCCTTTTGTTATGTTGAACTTGGGGCATATTTGAAATATGGTGGCCTTTTCGTTCACAGTGTAAAATCAAGAGGCAAACCTGGAACTGTATATAAGCTGGGCTGATTGGCAGTCAGGTAAGGGGCCACAGGGGCTGTGAAATGGCAGCTTCATGCTAATCAAAAACTACATCATGTGTGTGTGATGTAAGTCTTTCTGTTGTTATTTTGGGTTTTTTGAAACAGGTTCTCACTCTGTAGCCCATGGTGACCTGGAACTCATTATGCAGTCCAGGCTGACCTCAAATTCATATAATTCTCCTGCCTCAGCCTTCTAAGTGTTAAATTACAAGTACATGCCAATATGCCTGGCATATGTAATATAACCATTATTCTCAGAAAGATAGTTGTCTGAATTCATCAAGGTGGAATCAAGGTAAGGATGTGTGATTATGTAGGCGAGGTAACTCTTCAAAGAGAGCTAGTGCTTCAGAGGACAGGAAGTTTAATGTAAGTCTACTATTTGAGGTGGACTAGGAAGGCTTAATGTACTGTTGGGTTCCACTGATAGAAGTATGGAGTTCAGACCTGAGGAGGTGATGGTCCTATTCTATCCTGTTCTGCACTGGTCAGCATTGTCTGAACTCCTGAATTCTTTGCTGTCATCATTCAAGTGACAAAAAGAATCGAAATCATGTCATGTGAGAACAGTTGGAAGAACTGCAGCTGTTCAGCCTGTGGATAAACAGTCTCAGAGAGCAGAGCACATGACTAAGGCTTCTGAGTCCTAAATGACCAGGACTAGGAAAGGAAAGTTAGATTTCAAGCTACCTGTGACTTCACAGGGAAGACGCAGGACCACGGGATGGGAGCATGAAGAGGTGCATACCCATCTTCTCCCTGAGGTAGTGGCTCTTCATCTGGCCAGAGGCCAAGACACCTGGAGATGCCCTGCTCTTTGGAAAATGCCATGCTCTTTCCAAAACAGGCACCAGGAATTGTTCTGGAGCAGAAACACAGCTGAGTGAGGCAGCCATGTTCCAGACACTGTGAGCATCACTTGGTGCCTGTCATGAGCTTTTACTAATCTCTGTATTTCGAGGCCGTCCTCCAGACTCTATCTCTTCCTGGCTCTCCTCTCTTTCTTTCAACAAGATGTAAGCATGCCACCTTTTACCCTGGTGTGGGACTTTTGTGTAAAGTCTTAGGCCTACCCTACATTCCTTTTTAAGAGAGAAGCAGTGGATTTCCCAAGCACCTGACCCATGTTGGGAAGTAGGTTGGGATGGTTCTTGCTGTTCGTTGTGTACCCCTGTATGTAAGGTCTGAAGCCAGAGAATAGGCTTGGCTGTTACCCGGAGCAGCTTAGCATTTACCTGGCCAGAATCAAGATGTCCTGGTCCCAGGCCCGGGTATCCCTTTACAACTTGAGGCCTAGTTCAGTTTTCTACATCAAGCTTCATGGGCTTTTGAGGCCTTAAACCACCTTCATCCCTCAGTTATTCATTTCTACCATTCACCAGCTTTCTTGTAGGACCAGCCATCCCCTTCACCTCTCTCTTCTATTGGTGCCTAGAGAATATTCTGTACTCAGGTACTCTCTCTCATCTCTGACTGCTCACTCGTATCCATTCCTCAAAACCGGGACAACTCTGCTTCCCCGAGAAGCCCTCCCTGGCTCTTCTTGTGAACAGTCAACTCGTCCCAAGGCCCCTAGCCTCTGTCTAGTCTAGCCCCTAACGTGGTATGTGTGGCGTTCTGGCTCAGGTGTCCACTCCAGAGAGCTGTGCTGTCCCCATCTTGTCCCCAGCTCCTCCTCTGTCTTGCTGGCAGGAAGCATCTACTCCAAGGGCTTGTCAGACCAGAAAAAAAGAAAGCTGGCCTTGAGAAATGGAATTACAGAAGACAGCTGGCTTGTCTGAGGATGAGTAAGAGCAGACAGGAGTTGGGGGACTCTGAGGAATGAGTAGAGAGCAGAAACGTCATATTGGAGAATTGTGGGAGTTTCAGGGGGATGTATGGATTGAAGAATTCATTCATTATTCAAAGAAACACCCTTTGAGCATCTGCTGTATGTAAGACAGTGCAGCACACATAGGGAATAGAATAATCAAGAAAGCAAACATGGCCGTCCAGCGGGAGAGACAGACCCTGAACAACTAAAGCACACAGCCAGAGTCACGGTGAGAAACAGGTGAGTGGTGGAGACTCAAGAAAAGGTGCTGTGAGTGAGAACAGGGGGATGGGGGGGGGGGGTCAGGTAAGCTGCCTGTGAGAAAAAGTGCTGTTGGAGCTCATACCACAGGATGAGAAGGTCCTGGGGTGCTAACAGGGAGTGACTTCTTCTTGCTCCCTGGCAGGTCAGGGACTCCCCAGTGAGTCCCTTCCAAACTGGCCTTTCTCCATCCTGTCCCTGCGCAGCACTGGGTAAGTTTTCAGAAATGGGCACGTGGGAGGGCCAGAGTAGCCCTGCTCCCAGTGGTAGTGAGACCTTTAGCCACGCTGCCAGCTCTGCTGTGGGACTGAGAGAGCTATTAATAGTGTGGTGATATTGAATATTTAAAGAGCTCTGTTGACGAAGAACTCTTACCTGAGTCCTCCAGCATTGTGTGTTTTACACATGTTCTCCTAGAGATGGGAAAGGTACCCAAGGTCTTAGCAGGAAGAGAGAAGCATACCATCTTGGGCAGCCTGTTTTTAGCTTGCCAGGTTCATGTTGTTAGCACAGAAGCTAAATGTGACGGGCATTCTGTCTAGGGCAGGCCTACCTCATGGTGGGAAAGTCATCAGCCACTGGCATGCAGATTGAGAGCTGGTGAGGGAGCTTCCGCTGAACTTCCTGTGGACCCCAGAGCAGTCCACTGAAGATGCTAGCTTCCAGAAAACCTCTGCTCTCAGCCGGCCTGTTGCTCCCAGCCCTGGCTTAGAAGGGATCGCAGGCTCAGAAAGACCAAGCGGGGATCATGATGTGTGTGTGTGGCTAGTGGTTCAGGGAAGAGGAGGGAGAATTGTGTGACAGCAGAGAGATAAGTTAGAGTCTAAAACATTGGCACAAGATTGGGCCACTTATCACCCTCTCCATCAACTTCAGATAGGACCTCACTCGGACTGGAGGTTCTGAGATAAAACAACGAGGCAGTCTCAGGAAGCTCCCTTAGGAGGACCTGGTTTAGGTATCTTTAATTATAGAGACCCTAAGGAGCTAGTGAAGGGCGGGCCTCGGAGCAGGAGGTATGCCCAAGAGTGCCAGGAGTCAGCTGGGTGCATCCTAGCTGTATCTTCAGTTTGACTTCTGGCCAGCCTCCTGGCCTCTTTCAGGCTACTTATAAAATGAATAAGATCATGCATGTGCAGATGAACTGCACATTACTCTATCATTTCTGGTCCATGTTTGATGGTGATAAAGGTTGGCGATTTCCTTTTCCCATTGGTGATTCCCAGGGAGCTTTTGTGGGACAGGGTAAAGAGGTGTTCCTTCCCTTCAGCAATCACATCTTTTTGATGGGGCTGTGATGAGGCCAGCCTAGAGACCAAAGAACTTTCTTCTCAGAGGGGGATCCCATGAGAGGGTAGGGGTAAGGGGAGCTGTGAAGGGGAGCCAAGACCCGGCCCCTTCCCTGTGCACACCATGTCTGTGAGTCCTGTGGTCACCGTGACACCTTCCTGGAGAGTTACTGTTGATGGAGGGAAGGCCTTGTCCTGCTGCTAGTTCAGCTTACAAAGGTCAGTGGTGCTCAGGAAACATGTGAAAATCCCCTCCCCTATGCTGGAGAAGGAGGTAGCCCCAGACTGCTGCTGACTTTGTGTTCCTCTCAACATTTTGTCAGAGTAACTCGCAAGCATATGTATAGTGGAGAAGAAAGTCAAATGAGCCCTCAGGTACTCATCCAACAACTTCAACAATTGTCAACACAAGACTAATGTTTCACCCGGGCTCTCCCTACATAATTCTAAATCTTTCCTCGTTAGCATCAGCATATGTCTATCTCTTTAAAGTCATAGCAGATCATAATATTTTCACATCTAAAGATAATTTTTTGACATCATAAAGTTTTACTTGGTTTGTTTGAAACTAATCTATACATAGCATTTAGTTGACCTTTCTTGCTTGCTTGCTTATTTTGTTTTTTTGTATTTATTTGTTTTGTCTTGTTTTAAGACAAGGTTGCTCTGTGTAGCCTTGGCTGTTGGGGAACTCACTCTGTAGACCAGGCTGGCCTTGAATTCACAGAGATCCACCTGCCTATGCTTCCTGAGTGCTGGAATTAAAGACGTATGTCATCACCACCCAGCTGACCATTCTTTTTTTAATTTTATTGGTTTTGTGTGTGTGTGTATGTGTGTGTGCGCGTGCATGCGCGCGCGCACACACACACAGATCAGAATGACTTTATAGAGTCAGTCTGTCCTTCCATCTTGGGTTCCAGGATCAGACCCAGCTTGTCAGGCTTGTGCATCGTGGGCTTTTACCTTCTCCTGGCTGATGTTTCTTCAACCTAAAGTCCTCCCTTCTACTTTTTCTTTTCTTGCAATTTCAAAAAGATTTGAAAATCTTTTGTTGTTCCAGTTTCCTACCTTCTGGATTTTGTTGATCACATCCCTGTGATATTTTTAATCCCGTTCTTCTCTTTCCTACATTTCTGTAAACTAGTAGTAGATCAGATTCAGATTCAACTTTGTGTAAAGAATGCTTGGTAGATGCGCTGTGCATTTCCCTCTTCCCTCTGAGGTGTACATCGTCCTCGGCACAGTTGTCCTACTTTTTGTGGTGTTCAGACTGATTGATGGGGCAGTTAGCCTGATTACAACCCATTACAGAGGTTCCTCAGCATCATTTACCTAATGTTCTCAGCAGTCCCTGATGGTCATTGGTCCATTATTTCATTAGGAGTTTCCCTGTCCCCATTAGTACCCCTGGCCCTCTCTCCTGTGCGTCTGCTTTCCCCACGCTGCCCTTAACCCACACCACCATTTCCTTCCTCATCAACCCAAGACGCCCTAACAGCTTCGGGCCTCACAGACTCCATCTGCCTCCCTGGTGGCCTGTGCTTCCCTGAGGGGAGGGTCCTGACTTGGATCTACTCTCACTGAATCCTGCTAGAGCCATGTCTGACCCCAACTAGGGACTGCAAGCAGCCCAGGCTGTTCCTCCTCTGGGAGAGTTCTGCAGGGAGCTGGCTTTATTTCCCTTCCCAGGAATTTCTCAGGAGCCCTCTTCTGTGCTGAGGAGAGTCTTCCACACTTGTTTCCTCAGCTTCCTGCCCGAGCCTGGGCCCTGGCAGGGACCCAAGCCTGGCTTCCTGTTTACAGGCTGGGAGAGGTTGAGGGAGGCATGGGAAGGGCAACTCAGCTTTCGAGTCCTCTGCTCTCCGCTGCTCAGTGTAGACACCTCTGAGGGCCAGAACAGTTACCATCCTCTGGTGCTTCAGCATCCCTGTGTCTCCCAGATCACCACTCCTGTGGTTCTTCTGCTCAGCAGACAGACTCTGGATACCGTGCTGTGTGTTGGTGCACCCCTGACAGATAAAGCAGATGCATCGGTTTCACAGTGGGACAGCTGACCAGGAAGCACAGAGCTGGGAGCTGCCGCTCACAGACCCTGACCCTGCCCACACAAGTCCTGCGACTCTGTCACCCAGCTGTTGTTAGTTCTCTGGTCACTGTGTCCAACTCAACAGAGCTTCTGCTGGAGCAGGAAGCCTGAGGGGTGCAGGCTGGCCAGGGTCTGGTTATGAGAGCCAGAAGACATCGGGTACTCTACCATAGTGGCCATTGCCCAGTGCAGTTCTTTCTCAGCATCTGTGGCTCTGAGACCAGTGCCCCCACCCTCTGCCAATACCAAAACCCGTGGATATGCAAGCCCCTTACTTATTTGATGGCCAAGCATGGTAGCATGTGCCTGGAGCCTCAAGGATTGCTTGAGTACATAAGTTCAGTACTGCCTGGACAGCATAGGCAGACCCTGTCTCAAAGAAAAAACGGGAAGAAGCATAGGATGGCATACAATGCACATGCACTCTGTACACTTGAAATCCTCACATGGTTCCTTACAATGACTTCACAATGTACATGTCATGTAAATAATTATTTTGTTTGGTTGATTGGATTCAGTTTGGTTTTGAGACAATGTCTTACTATGTAGCCCTGCTAACCTGGAACTCAGAGATCTCTCTGCTTCTGCCTAAGTGGTGGGATTAAAGGTGTATGCCACCATGCTGGGTATAAATGGTTATTGTACTATTATATTATATTGCTTGAGGAATAATGAGAAAAAGCCTGTACATGTTTAGTACAGATATTTTCTACCTAGTATTTTCAATCAAAGCTTGGTTGAATCAACATATGCAGAACTCACATTCACAGGGCCAGCACTATAGGACTTCTGATAAGTGACAGCTTGACCACTGACCCTCATTCCTCCATATGCCTGGCTCTTCCTTGAACAGTAAGAACCTGAAGGGCCATATTCTGCTCCAAGAGAGGACCTGGTATGGATTAACTATTTTTTTCCCTCTCCTGGATGACTCCGGCAAGAATTATGTGAAACCCAATCTCTTTCATCCCATGAAGAGAGAACATCAGTGATCTGAAGTGACACATATCTGTGAGTCCAGCACTTGGGAGGCTGAAGAGGAATTGTTAGTTCAAGACCAGCCTAATCTATATAGTGAGACCTTCTGCCTCAAAATAATGAAACAATCAGCCAAAAGCAGATGTGGTGGTGCACATCTGTGGTCCCCAGTACTTGTAAGGCTAAAGCGAGAGGGTTGCTTCAAGTTTGAAGTCAGCTCAGGCTGCAGTGTTTCAAGGTGAAACCCTAAAGGAACATACGGGAAAACCCTATCTGGACTTCCCAAATGCCCTAAACAGCACAGGGACATAGAGGAAAGTGTGCTGCTAGGTATCAGGAAGTCCGTTACCCCTAGCACGCCAACAGCTTCTGCTTCCACCTGTAAAGATTCAAATCCTGAGCAGGGAATGGTAAGGGCACCTGTAATCTCAACACTTGTGAGTTGGAGGATCAGGACATCTGGGTCATCCTCAGCTACATAGTAAGTTCAAGGCCAGCCTGGGCTACATGAGGGCCTGTCTGAAAACAAAACAAAAAGACTCAGATTCTTCAGGTGGCCTGCAAGGCCTCAAATAGTCTTCCTGCAACCTTCCTGTCCAGCTCACCTCTTCCCGTTGCCTCCGCCACTGCATCCTGCCTCGACTTCCCTCCGAGGGCTGCTTCCCCTTGCTTCAGTGCTTTGGCAGACAGTTTTGCTTTGGGGATGTTTTGTTCTTGTTTGGGTTGACTCCATCTCATCTTCTAAGCTTGCCTCGGGGACCTTCTCTCCTTAATGTACTTTTCACAGGTGCCCTTGAGAAATGTACGAATAATTGTTCTATTGAGATAGGGCCTTATGAAGTCTGATTTCCATAAGGCGGAGACCGTTTCTGTTTTTACATTATTCTCCTGCAGAGTACCCGCACATAGTAGACTCTCACTGAATACCTGTTGAATGAATGAAATTTTGGTTTCTTATCTCCTTTTCTTAGTAACCTATGTCATTCCGTCATACTCAATATGTGCCCTTGCTGTTGGTGAGCATTTACCAAACATGCAGCATTTCACTTAACCTTTGCAACTCTGTGAAGGAGGTATACTCGTAATCTACAGAGAGGGAACTAAGACCCAAGATCACACAGCTAATTAGGGAGCCACTTCAAACCCAGGTATGTGGCCTCAAAGCCAATTCTCTTAACCGTAGTACCACACTGCCCCCTTTTGGCATGTCACAGAGTTGCCACTGGGTCCTTGGCTAATTTCAAATGAGTACTTGGCAGAGCTGGCTGTGGAGCCCAGCTGTGGAAGGACAGGATGCGGGTGATGGAATTCAACCTGGGCTGCTGCTGTTCTAGGGTTATGCATTTCAGGGTCTGTTGCCCCATATGTTTTCCATGAACCCTTTGCCACCTCCAGGATGTAATAGAGCATCTCGTTTTAGAGAAAAGAAGGGTCCGCTGTTTAAACGGCCTGGTCTGCAGTGTCTGGGGAGTAAACAGCCCTGATTAAGAACCTAATAAAAATAATTGAGAGGGAGAAAGGAGTGTTTGTCTCTTTGTGATTTAGCCACTAAAGACAGCACTCTGGAACGCAGCTTTAAGGCATCCCTGGGAAATGCAGACCCAGTGAGAGGGCAATCCCTCTTAGTCTTGATTACGGCAAAGCTCGAGTTATCCAGGATCCCAGGGCTTCTCTGGCGGCAGGGAAATTGGAACTGACGAATGCTTTAGACTAGATGGGGACATGCAAATGAGAAATGGGTGGCATAAATATAAACCCCAGCTCCCGTTTGTTGACCATGCTAGGCACGCTGTGAAGCATTCTACATTCCTTATTCCCTTCATTCTAACGCCAGCCTTGCTCACTCAGTAATGCTGCACCCGTGAAAGGAAAGGCGTTGATAAAAGAACTTGCCAAGGTCATACAACAGCTGGTCCTCCTGACTTTGAAACCAGAGCATCCCACAAACTGGGTTGGTGAGGAGAGACAACTGGCAATGGAGCATCATTCCTATTTCTAGGACTGTGGTTAAACATCGCCCAGAAAAATAGGCAAGTGTATAAAGACTTCCTTTTACTGGGCATTATAATTGCTTTCATATAAATACATCTAGGTGTGATGGTCCATTCCTCTAATCCCAGAACTCTAGAGACTGAGGCTGGAGGATTACAAGTTCAAGGCCAGAGTGAGCTCTGTAGTGAGACAGTGCCTTAAAAAAATGAAAACAAATATGTATATAATTTTATAATGTAGCATTAAATAGTTACAATAAACATAACAGCTACAGTAGCTGCAACATTATCATAGTGAGAAGAAGAAATTTTAAAAAGCAAAGAGACTAGGCACAGAGATGTACACCTTTAATCCTAGCACTTGGGATGCAGAGGCAGGAGGATTTCTGTGAACTTGAGACCAGCCTGATCTACATAGTGAGTTCCAGGACAGCCAGGGCTGTTACATAGAGAAACTCTGTCTTAACCCACCCCCTCCAAAAAAAGCAAAGAGCCTAAGCCTTCGGTAGTGGAGTATGATTAAATAAATAAATCATGGAACACTCTTCCCCAGCATACATAAGGGGAATGGTAGCTCATGCCTACAATTCTAGCTCTTGGAAGTCCAAAGCAGGAGGATCAGGAGTTCAGGGCCAGCCTTGGCTGCATAACAAATTCAAAATAAAGGGCAGCCAGCTAGATGAGCTGACTCAACAGGTGAAGGTCCTTGCTCCATAGTCCTGGTGACTGTGGTTTGATCCCCGGAGTCCACCTGGAGATGGAAAACAGAACAGATTCTACGTCGTCCTCTGGCCTCCTCATATGTACTGTGGCATGTGTGTCCACACATCATACACACTAATAATAAATATTTTTTGGTGAAGAGGTCCTTATAATGTATTTTTCTGTGGCATAAAAAGCATATTACATAAAAGTTGCCATCATAAGATGCATATGTAATGTGGGTAGTCTGATTCCATCTGTGTTTAAATCTGTATATATAAGCATGCATCTTAAAGTCTGAAAGTATAAAGTAGCAACAGTTCTAATCTTATGAGAACTTTTACTTTCTTCCTTATTCACTTTTGTGTTGGTATCTCTTAAGATAAATCAACTTACCTTATTTTTTTATTAGTCCTTTTTCTATTTTGTGTAACAAATGCTAAAAAGTATACTCTTTCTCCTGGCATATCCCTCCCTGCACAGACAATAGAACTTGTCCCATCATTCACATGTGTTTGGAATCAGGTATTGTATGGACAAGTTGGCTAAATGCATTGAGGATGGAAATGTTGCCTCATACCTGTCAGCTACTTATCTGGCCAGTCTTGTCCCTGCTGGGCCCCTCGGCTTTGACCTCATACACTCCTTTCACATCTTCTCACTTCCTTCTCAGATTCTGCAGAGCCCCTGGCTGTGTGGAGACAAGGCATTTCTTTGGAAATGAAAATCTCAGCATTGGACAGATACATTCCTGCCTCTTAGCTCCCTGATGGCAGGTTCCCGCAGCTTCTCCTTCACCAGCAGAGAGAGGCAGGGGGAGAATCTAGTCTCACATCCCCCAAGCTGCAGCCACGACCACATGTTGGATGTTCTGCCTCCAGCTGGTATTTTCAGTACAGCCTTTTTAGGTGGCACAGTAGGAAAGGGACCAGAGAACGTAACCACTCCTGGCTCAGAGACTACATGGGAACTGCCCAGCCTTAGTTTTTCTCTGCAAAACTGGAATAAATAATAGACATTACTTCTATGTCTTATGATGGTCAGAGATTAAATGAGAAAATAAAGGAAAAGCTTTGAAAATATAAGTTGCAATAAAACATAAAATCTATATTTTTAATGTAATCTTTTGAGATTTGTGTTATGCTTTTATGTCTATATACATGCCTCTACATCTGCTTATCTGCTTATTGTGGAATAACAGTTTAATAGGGAGATAAAGGATATTAAAAAATCTTGAAAGGCTCCTTTTTTTTTCTGAGACAAAGTTTCTCTATATCACAGTCCTGGCTGTCCTGAAACTCAATTTATAGACCATGCTGGCCATGAACTCACAGAGATCCTGCCTCTGCCTCCCAACCGCTGGCATTAAAGGCATGTACCACCACTGCCTGGTGAAAGGCCACTTCTTAAAAACAACCAAAGAGGGCTGGAGAGATGGCTCAGCAATTAAGAGCACTTGCTGCTCTTCAAGAGGACTTGGGTTCAATTCCCAGCACCCACATGGCAGCTCACATTGACTGTAACTCCAGTTCCAGGGGCTCCTACAACTTCTTTTGGTCTCTGAGGGCAAGCAGGCATGTATAACATGCACAGATGTGCATGCAGTCAAAACATCTGTAGATATAAAATAAAAATGTTAAAGCCTAGGAAAGGGAGAGGGAGGGAGCCAGGCTTGTCTTCACTTCATCTGCTCTGTACTGTCTTGTTTCCCCAGGGAACATGCACTGTTGGTTTGTTGTTTTTTTTTTTAAGTTAAGGAAACCAATACAGACTTTTTAATGGCTTAAGGTAATATAGTCAAACTAGAAATAGTTATTGGAAGTCATCCACACAGAGGTGGACAGCTGGGGCAGAGAGAACAGAGGATTTAGAAAGATAAGCAATTGGGGAAACAGCTTGATTGGCAAATTGGGACCATGTTATTAAAACTATTGAATGTCAGGTCAATGAGTTTTTAAGTGGTGGAAGCCATTGGAGGGTCTTGAGCAAAGGAGTCCTGTAATCAGTAATTTGATTCTCAGAGCAGTGTTTGAAGAGTAATGAATGTGGATGAGATAGCTCAGGCCTTGGAAGCCTGGAGTCCTGATTTCAATCACCAGAACCCATGTGAAGATGGAAACAAAGAACCAACTCCGTGGGGCTGTCCTCTGATTTCCACATGTATCACACACACACACACACACACACACACACACACACACACACACACTCTCACACACACACACACACACACTTTAAATTTTTATTTATTTTTAGCTTTATCCATTTTACACATACTTTTTTGAAAAAGAATAATGCATGAGATAACTTGAAGAAGAAAGAAAGAAAAGAGAGGAAGGGAGGGAGGGAGGAAGGAAGGAAGGAAGGAAAGAAGGAAGGAAGGAAAGGTATACATAGTTAGGCATGGTGGTGAACTTCAGGCTACATCAGGGAGAGCCTGAATTCAAAGCCAGCCTGAGCTACACAGGAAGGCCCCATCTTTAAATAGACATTAACTATTTTGAAGAAAGTGATATATTACATATCCAATTGGTTTGCTAGAGGTCTAAATGGAAAGAGCATGAGTCAGGAAGACCCACAGTTGGGTCTAAGAGAGACAGGAGCAAGCTGTAAGAAAATAGTGGTGGTACTGGGTTATAACCCCCACGTAAAATAAGTATTAATCCACGGCGATATTTGTAAATAAACAAAGGAGAAGGGACAAATACTTCCTTTAGAATTCTAATTTTATGCATGTATATTTTCATGAAATATACTTCATTAAAGTTCTATATTTGAAGAAAAGTGAGGGAGATAAAAACTGCCACTGGAACGTCATAGTAACAATAGCTGCTGTCAAGATTCACTGACTGCTAAATCTAGAGGGTGACACTTTAAGGAGAACCAAGATATTTGAATAGTTGTATGACACTCTTACGTATTAATTACTGTGGTAGTTTTAAACATGTATCCACGCTTTCTTTGATACTCCTCTCTTTAAAAGATGGAATTTAATTCTCTCCCCCTTCAATATGGGCTGGACTAAGTGACTTGTTTCTGATGAAGAGAAAAAGTATGACAGAAACAGTAATTTTAGAATAGAGAGACCTGTCAAGTACCACCCTAAGTGATTCAGATTAATCCCACTGGTGATGAGACGTGAAATCCCAGTGCATGTCACCTCCATTGTATCCTCCGGAATCTACAACCTGAACTGGTTACGAGAAACATGAGGCAGGGGCTGGAGAGGTGCCTCAGCAGTGAAGGTGAGTTCACTGAAGACCAGGTTCAATTCCCAGCACCCACATAGTGGCTTACAGCCACCTATACCCCAGTTCAAGGGAATCTCACACCCTCTTCTGGTTTCCTCAGGCACTACATGCTCAGTATGTACATACATACACAGAGACACAGATGAATAAAATAAAACAAAAGTTTGTAAAGAAAGATTAGGCAAATTGAAAAGATATTCTAGGAATACCTAACCAGGCATTTTCTTAACCTCAAAAGTCAAGACTGAAAATGAAAAAGGATCCTAGTACAAAAACTGTAGAAAATTACACCAAATCTGTAGTTTAGTTAATAGCAATGCTCTAGTATTCTTAGAGTTGATCATGTACCATAGTTAAGTAAGATGTTACCATCAGGGAAACTAGATGAAGAACTCTCTGAATTGTCCCACTGTAGAAATATAGAGTTATTTCAGGCCGTGGAGATGGCTCAGCAGGGGAGGCGCTTGCTGCCGAGCCTGTTGAGTTTGACCGCCAGGATTTACACGGTGGAAGGAGAGAACCGACTTCTGAAACTGTCCCCTGACTTCCACATGTGCCCCGGAGCACACTGCCCACCCCCTTAAATAAATAAATACAATTAAAAACATTTTTAATTATTTCAAAATGATTAAGGTTAAAAAATATCCCCACCACCATTTTTAGTGTATTTGGCTAGAAAAGAAGATTGCCATTAACAAGATAAGGATAGCTAAAAGGAAAAATGAAGACTGTATATAACAGGCTCCAGGCCAAGCTGGGCTACACAGTCCATAAACAAACAAGCAAAAACTGAAGAGAAAAAGAGTTTCCAAACAGAACTCATCAGTACTTCCAATGATTCTGAAAATGAGGGACAGTCACCCAGGAAAAGGCATTGACTCCGCAGCAGATTAAGCTGTTCGTCATGGTGTTCAGTGTCTGGGGACAGCAGCCTCCTGGGGAGTGCACGCAGCCTGTTGCCTATGGGGTTGCCCTAAGGGACCTCAAAGACTATTTTCTGTTGCCTAGTCATGTATCTGGTCTCAATGCTTTCCCCAATGTAGGCTTTGGACAGGAAGGCCCAGGGCACAGTGGCCAGGTCATCACATCTGTCTTCACCAAACTGCAAAATAAGGACCATGTGACTGAGGCCCTGCTTCAGGGTTAATCCAGATGAGCTTGAAGACATAGTGGCTGAAAAGCAGCCCGTCCCTAATGACTGTGGAGTCAAATATATTCCCAGCTGTGATCCCCTAGACAAGTGGCAGGCCCTGCACTCCCAAGGGATCCCATTTGCTGTCCTATACTCTCCCAAATCATGTTTAGTAATAAATCTCACATTCAGTGGGGCAAGGGAAGAAAGGGCCACTAGGAGCTGGGCACTGGCCCCACGAGTTAGCAGAGTGGCTGGGGAGATGGCTGAGAGCACACTGCTTATGGAAGACCTGAGTGCATTTCCCAGCATCCACATGAGACACCTCCCAACTGCCTGTAACTCCAGCTCCAAGGAGATCCAGTGCCTCTGATCTCTGGCCTCCAGCCTCCATAGGCACTCACACTAACGTGTACACACACACACACACACACACACACACACACACACACACACACACACACACAGTTATAACTAAAAACAAAAGTAAATCATTTTTTAAGAGAGGTGACAGAAGACAAGGAGAGGGGAGGGGGGTGGAGACAGGAGTCAAGGTGCCGGGACTCAGAGTGCAGAAGCATTTGCCCAGGTGAGGCAGATCCACTCATAGAAGAAGCTCCTAGGGAGCAAGGCATGGTGGCACATCCCAGCACACAGGAGGCAAAGGCAGGAGGATTTCTGTGAGTTTGAGACCAGCCTGGTCTACAGAGTGAATTCCAGGACAGCCAGAGCTACACAGAGAAACCCTGTCTCATGGGTGGGGGGGGGGGGGGGGGAAATCTAGGAAAAAGCTTCTAAACAGAGAGGCAAGAAGTAGTGTCCAGCCAGGTGGTGGTGGTGACGGCGGCGGCGGCGGCGGCAGCGGCGGCGCATGCCTTTAATCCCAGCACTCGGGAGGCAGAGGCAAGTGGATCTCTGTGAGTTCAAGGGCAGCCTGGTCTACAAAGCGAGATCCAGGACAGGCACCAAAAATACACAGAGAAACCCTGTCTTGAAAGAAGAAGGAGAAGGAGAAGGAGAAGGAGAAGGAGAAGGGGAAGGAAGGAAGGAAGGAAGGAAGGAAGGAAGGAAGGAAGGAAGGAAGGAAGGAAGGAAGGAAGGAAGGAAGGAAGGAGAGAAAGAAGAGAAAGAAAGAAAGAAAGAAAGAAAGAAAGAAAGAAAGAAAGAAAGAAAGAAAGAAAGAAAGAAAGAAAGAAAGAAAGAAAGAAAGAAAGAAAAAGAGAAATGGTGTCCAAAGCAAGTGAGCCAAAGGGCTGGGCCCCAAGCTCAAGAAGAGGAGGTGCTCCTATTGCCTGGCTGTGGTCAAAC